CGCAAACAAAAAAAGCGCAAACAGAAAAAAGCGCTCACAGAAAAAAAAGCACAAAAAGATTCAGTGAATCAGTAGCACCATTAAAAAATTTCTGACAACCAGTGACAGCATCACTGTCAAGAGGACACCCCCTGTCAGTGTCAGCTTTGACTTTAAATAAGTGTAGGAACATGTTACAGTGATCTTTAAGAAATTCATTTTGGGTTAAGTTTAAGTTAGCTTTTTTCTGTGTTTCTAAAATTGACCGTTTTTTTCCTTTACTTTTTGAATGTACATATAGATCTACTTAAAGTACTCCGTAAGTCAAAAACATAATATCAAAATGATTTTCATAATTTTATTTTTAAGTTTCCTTAGTTTTATAACATAAATAAGAAAATCATCATTTAACTTACACAATTTAGACACAATATGGCAGTTCATTATGTATGGCAAATCGAGCAACACTAGAAAATAGGCATTATTCACTATTAGACTTCTTCCCTGTCATGATTAGTATCTAGGGTGACTATCTTTATTTTAAATTTCTTCAAATAATTGATCTTTTATCTCTTTTAGAAGATGATCAAATTAATAATAGAGAATCAGCCACAAAATAAAATATAAAACTTAAGAATGGTTTTAAACGTAATTCAACTGTCTCGGATGCAGTGTTTCTTCCCGGCATCTGTTCAACCCTCCCCCCCCCCCCCCGCCCCCAAATGAAATAGAATCTATATAGAAAATATATACTTTACCAGTGTCCGCCCCCCCCCCCCCTCGGACAAAAAAAACTGAAAGAAACACTTCTCTGTTGCTGATGAAAATTTATGTTTGTAGTTACCTGTTCTTTATAAGTTTCAGGGGCGTAGCGACGCGGACGGGGGGGGGGGGGGGGGGGGGAAGGGGAGAGAAGGGGAGAGGTACACATGTCCCCGAGTGCCGACCTTAGGGGCGCCAAAATAAGCTAATTTTAGCTGCTATTTTGAATTATAAATATAAAAAAAATATGGGATGGGGGGGGGGGGGCGGGGCGCCAAATTGAAAGTTGGTCCTCGGGCGCCTGGAGGGGTCGCTACGCCTCTGATAAGCTTACCCTACACATATAAAGTTCTTATATTTGCTCTTTGGTCCACCATGATACAATTATAAGTTCATTTGATAAGTTTCAGAGTGTAGAGTAATATTAGATTTGTATTAAGATATAGTTTTTTTAAAAATAAGAACTTAATTTTTTTAGTTACTCCGTATATTCCTGGATAATTTTTCCAATAAAAATATTGGCTTCTATTTTTTTCTCTGTAAGATTGCACACAATTTTGATGTTAATTACACTTTTGCTTTCAAATGTGTATTGCACTTACTTCAATCAACTATTTAAAAAAGACCACCCTTTAAGTCTTAAACTTTTTCTTGAAATGCTTTTCTGACTTTACTCACACCTTGCATCTTATTTCAAATTTTAAAAATACTTAGATGTTATAATACAATGTTAAAATCAGGTGCAAAGCTATAGAAAAGTTTGCATATATATATATATATATATATATATATATATATATATATATATATACATACATATATATATAAAGAGAGAGAGAGAGAGAGAGAGAGAGAGAGAGAGAGAGAGAGAGAGAGAGAGAGAGAGAGAGAGAGAGAGAGAGTGCGAGTTATCAATTTTTTAAAATTTATTAAAAATGTAAGAAACATCCCATAATATTATATCAAATTCCTTCAGGCTTAGATCAATACACAAAATATTTTTGCTTTTCAATAGTGCATTTTATAATTAATTTGATGTATCAGTGATTTTATAAAAACTTGTTAAACTTGAAATTTATCAAATTATAGCCCCACTAGCAGTAGAAAATCTAAATGTGGCAAGTTTGAACACAACAACTTTATTCCTATCCTGGTCAGTTAGCAGTAGCAGTAATCAAGCAAGCTTTGATGTAAGTTTTACTTGTTTATTCCTATCCTGGTCACTAGCAATAGCCATCTGCAACAGAATTTTGATACAAGTTGTACTTACAATACAGAAGGCTTTAGTGGAGCCTAAAGTCTTGTTTTCAACATTACTCTTTAAGGATAAGAAAAAATAGTATTTGTGTCTAAAAGATTTAGCATAATTTGTTAAAAGTTTAAACCTACAAAGTAGTTTACAATCATGACGTGTTTCAGATATATGCTAACAAAAACTACTCAGTAAATGCAACTAAACAGTTGAACTATAACCTGACAATGAGTGACCTCACACCTGGAACCAGCTATAACGTCTCTGTTGTTGCTGTTAGGGAGGAAGCTAGAAGCAGCCCTAAAAGTGTGGTAGGACTTACAGGTGATCTAGTGCTTGCTGTTTTCTATGTGTGGCTGTAGTTAATATCATTGTGATTTAAAACAATGGGATCCAAACATAAGGTTTGAAATATTTTTTTGAAAAGCTGTAAATGTAGCTTACATGCTCACATGGTCTAATGTTACACAGTTTGTTTACTGGCTTACATGGTCTATTGTTACACAGTTTGTTTACTGGCTTACATGGTCTATTGTTACACAGTTTGTTTACTGGCTTACATGGTCTATTGTTAAACAGTTTGTTTACTGGCTTACATGGTCTATTGTTACACAGTTTGTTTACTGGCTTACATGGTCTATTGTTACACAGTTTGTTTACTGGCTTACATGGTCTATTGTTACACAGTTTGTTTACTGGCTTACATGGTCTATTGTTACAGTTTGTTTACTGGCTTACATGGTCTATTGTTACACAGTTTGTGTACTGGCTTACATGGTCTATTGTTACACAGTTTACTGGCTTACATGATCTATTGTTACAGTTTGTTTACTGGCTTACATGATCTATTGTTACAGTTTGTTTACTGGCTTACATGGTCTATTGTTACAGTTTGTTTACTGACTTACATGATCTATTGTTACACAGTTTGTTTAATGGCTTACATGATCTATTGTTACAGTTTGTTTACTGGCTTACATGGTTTATTGTTACACTTTGTTTACTGGCTTACATGGTCTATTGTTACAGTTTGTTTACTGGCTTACATGGTCTATTGTTACACTTTGTTTACTGACTTACATGACTTGTCCATTTGTTCCAGCACCCAACCCAGTGTCCAATGTAAATATAGAAGAGCTCAGTCCCCCCACCAGTCTACAAGTCACATGGATAAAACCAATCGCAGGAAAAGCTGACAGCTTTAATATCAGCTACAGATCACTCAACTCCAGCTCGATGAACAACACTAGCACTACATCTACAAGTAAAACCATATCTAGTCTATTTCCTGGTTACACATATGAGTTCAATGTCACAGCTGTTAGCAATGGTGTACAAAGTCAAGAGGTTTCAAAAGTTTATGCCTTGAGTGAGTAAATTATGACATTTCATATAGTTTATATTTTATTTGATTGTTTATCATTTGTCAAATATTTGAGTTACATTCTAGAAAATTGAAATGATTTAAATGTACAATAATTTGAAAAGAAAAATCTTAATATATAGCTACCAATTTAAAAAAAAATTCCATGTTTTTAATATGACCATTTACATTCCGTCATTAGCTTTTAATTTGTCTTAATTCTTTTCGTTTTATTATTTTAGCTTTTACATATTACATCTATTGTTATTTGGCCACATTTAGTCAAATTATTTTCAAGAACTATTGTTTAGTTAGTCACAATAAATATTATTATTTTTAACATCTGTTGTTTCTTTATATCATTAGTTGCATCATTTTTTGTTTATTTTGGTTAAATTTAGACAAATTTTGTTCAACATACTTCATTACTGCTTGTTTATTTAGTCACTTTTAGCCATATTATGTGTTAAACACCTGTTGCTTATTTTGTAACATTTAATCAAATTATTTCCATCTATTATTTAATTAGTCACATTTAGTCAAATTATGTTCCCTCAGGTCCACTACCACCAGAAAACTTAAGCAAGGTCAAAGGTGAAACCACAGAAACTAATGTTAAAATAACTTGGCAACACGATGCAACAAAAACTTACTGTGAAAAATGGGAGATCACTTGGTTGACTTATAACCAGACAGTGACCACTACCCAAAATAGAGTGTATACATCTACCGTAGGCCAACTGGAAGCTGGTAAAACATACACAGTCACAGTAGTCAGTGTGGTAGGAAACAAAAGATCAACCAATGTCCAGCTCAAAGTAACTACAAGTAAGTTAGTCTTATGATACAGAAATAGATTGCTATTTTTTTGCTATATTTTATATACATGTAAAATTCAATAGTACTAAAAGTTAATGTCTAAATTAATAGAGAATATTTATTCGACAGTTTATTAGGCTATTAACTTTATTAATATAATACTCATTATATTACACAGAAAATTAGTATAAAATTAGAAATAACAAAACTATTATCTTGTCCTCCTCAGAACCTCTAATGACATCTAAACTAACAGAAGTATCAAGCACTAATAGTTCCATTAGATTCAGCTACACTGTTGCAATGGGTGATACGTTTGATAACTTGACCTTTAGTTTAAAGGATGGAAACAACATGAACAATGTAGACAATGTAAGCCCAGTGACAAGAACTAAAAGTGATCTAAAAGATGTTGAGTTCTCTGGTCTGACAGCTGGGACTAAGTACACTGTGTCCGCAGTGACCAACAGCAATGATGAAACAAGCTCTCCCAAAATACTACAAATCCTAACTAGTAAGTTCACACTGATAATTGTATGCATCAACTGTTACAGCCTACTTGTAATTAATCATGTTAAAAATATGATGTCGCCTAAAATGATTGGCCTTAATTTAGAGCTTGTATTACCCAATCATTTGTATCCCTGGTAATGTTGGTAACTACAGATCATACCTGATAGTTTTAACCACATATAAAAATCCATTATACCATATTACCGTTTATCTTCATCAAAATTTTTCTTATACTATTTTATATTTTATGTAATTGATTTTTTGTTGTTGCATGTCTTCAAATAAGAATTATTTCACTGTCACCAGATCCTATTGCCGTCCCTGTCACTCTATATCCATTCTCCCGAAGTGTAACTTTAGAGCTAGGCCCACAACTAGATGGTGCTGCTAATTACATCATTACATGTATGGACTCTAACAACCAAAGCTGTAAAGAAAAGACAGTCCAGAGATTCCAGAATCGCAAATTTAATGTGACAATCAGTGACTTGAAACCATATCAGGACTACATGTTTACTGTGGATACACAGACTGAAACTTTGGATGGACATTACAAAAGTGTAGCAAAAATGTACTCCATTAGGACCTTACAATCTGGTGAGTGGAACATTAGGATATATTTATGTTTGTGACACTCTTCAGTTTATCTAAAAAATGTTTCCTTTATTTTTCATTTTGTATTTGTAATGAGCGAAAAAATATTACTATTTTTAGATACCTAGGAAATCATTTCCCCCAAATTTTTGTCTAATACTAAAAGCTATGAAAGAGGCTATAAATTAATACAGTTGTATTAAATTCTATCAAATATTCTATAGAGTGATTCAGTTGTATTAAATACTATCGAAGAGTCTATAGAGTGATACTGTTACATTAAATACTATCAAAGATTATATGGAGTGATACAGTTAGATTAAATACTATCAAAGATTCTATAGAGTGATACAGTTACATTAAATACTATAAAAGAGTCTATAGAGTGATACTGTTACATTGAATACTATAAAAAATTCTATAGATTGTTACAGTTCTCTATCTGTAAAAACTGTCCACAGCCCCTGGTCCAGTTGTATCTTTAGCTGTAAGTGAACCAGTGTTCCGTACAGTCAAGTTAACATGGAAGCCACCTGTTGAAGCCAATGGAATCATTACTAAATACATGATCAGTTATACCAAGGATAATGATAAGCAAGAGGAGGTGAATATATTGGTTAAGTGCTTGATAAATTGCATACAAATGTAACTGCACAATGTTTTAATTGCAAAGTTTAATTCACATTCCACAGTAATTGTGTAACATCAATAATTAAATTCATTTTTTATGCTAATATAAGAATTTTGTTTTTAAACCTAATATACTATGCATTATTACTCTGTCAACATATGAACATTCTCATTTGAATTAGATTTTCCCCACTGAATCTTTGATGATAGAAGTCACCATAGCAAATCTCACACCTGGAGTATCTTACACCTTTAAGGTCAGTGTGGTTCATGTATTGTACAACTTTAAGGCCAGTGTTTTCATTCTTTTATTTATTTTATTATTTGCTTGACACTTTCTTGTATACTGAAATATATCTTTTTACTTCCTCTAACATGTTCACGTTTTTATTTACAGGTATCAGCGTACACTGTGGAGAAGGGCAATGAAACTGAGATAAAATATGAAACAAAAACACAAGGTGATTAGTTTTATATTTATCTTTTATCATGGTGAAACTACTTCACACCAAGACTAGCATATTATAGTTATACAAATAATAATCATTTTAAACAAAAGTTGTAAAGAATATTCTAAGTTTAAAATCCCACTAGTAACATTTATTACAAATATACAATCATTTGAAGAGTCATTTTTAGTTGGCTTATTTTGTGTATTAAGAGTTGTGTACAAATATTTTAGCCCCAGTATTTAAAGAAAGCTTTACACTGGAGAGCAGCAAACCTAAACTAGCACCAGAAGATCAGAGACCTGTGACAGAAAACCAGATCAAGCTACATTTTATCAACCCATTCAGTGACGCCAATGGAGAAATTATGTACGTTTTTTGACATCACCTATTGAAAGATGTTTTGTAACAGTTTTTAAAATCTTGTTATTTTTATGGGTATCATTTGAGAGTGTTTTGAAATTGAAATAGTTCTAATAATCCAAGCGTTGAACTGTCCTATCATATGAGAGTGTTTTGAAATTACAATTGGTCTAATAATCCACCTGTTGAACTGTCCTTACAGAGAGTATTCAGTGATTGTATCAACAGAGCTTTCACCTGAACATGACACCAATGATGACTTGCCAACTTGGGACCAGGCTAGAAAGGACAGTACAAAAAAAGTTTACAAGGCCATCAATAGGTGGGTACTGGTTGAACTTTCATTGGGTTTGCATGGCCAAGTAGGTTGGCATGGTGGAGTGGGTTGACAAGCTGGAGTAAGCTGACAGGGTGGAGTGGGTTGACATGGTGGAGTGGGTTGACATGGTGGAGTGGGTTGACATGGTGGAGTGGGTTGACTTGGTGGAGTGGGTTGACATGGTGGAGTGGGTTGACATGGTGGAGTGGGTTGACATGGTGGAGTGGGTTGACATGGTGGTTGACATGGTGGAGTGGGTTGACATGGTGGAGTGGGTTGACATGGTGGTTGACATGGTGGAGTGGGTTGACATGGTGGAGTGGGTTGACATGGCAGAGTGGGTTGACATGGTGGAGTGGGTTGACAGAGTGGAGTGGGTTGACATGGTGGAGTGGGTTGACATGGTGGAATAGGTTGATATGGTGGAGTGGGTTGACAGGGTGGAGTGGGTTGGCGTGGTGGTTAACATGGTGGAGTGGGTTGGCATGGTGGTTGACATGGTGGAATGGGTTGACATGGTGGAATAGGTTGATATGGTGGAGTGTGTTGACAGGGTGGAGTGGGTTGGCGTGGTGGTTAACATGGTGGAGTGGGTTGGCATGGTGGTTGACATGGTGGAATGGGTTGACATGGTGGAGTGGGTTGACATGGTGGAGTGGGTTGACATGGTGGTTGACATGGTGGAGTGGGTTGACATGGTGGAGTGGGTTGACATGGTGGTTGACATGGTGGAGTGGGTTGACATGGTGGAGTGGGTTGACATGGCAGAGTGGGTTGACATGGTGGAGTGGGTTGACAGAGTGGAGTGGGTTGACATGGTGGAGTGGGTTGACATGGTGGAATAGGTTGATATGGTGGAGTGTGTTGACAGGGTGGAGTGGGTTGGCATGGTGGTTAACATGGTGGAGTGGGTTGGCATGGTGGTTGACATGGTGGAATGGGTTGACATGGTGGAGTGGGTTGACATGGTGGAGTGGGTTGACATGGTGGTTGACATGGTGGAGTGGGTTGACAGGGTGGAGTGGGTTGACATGGTGGAGTAGGTTGACATGGTGGAGTGGGTTGATATGGTGGAGTGGGTTGACGGATGAAGAGGGTTGGCATGGTGGTTGACATGGTGGAGTGGGTTGGCATGGTGGTTGACATGGTGGAGTGGGTTTACATGGTTGAGTGAGTTGACATCTTACAGAGATGAAACGACTTCTTCAGTATTTCCTCATATTTATCAAAATATTTTCATCTGACAGATGTAAAGACTTCTTCAGTTCATCCTCATCGTGTGGAACTGCTACAAGAAAAAAACGTGAAACAGAAAACGCTGGACACCTGTTTGTTGTTGGAGCTGAGTTGAATTGTGAGGGGAAAGTATTCTGTAATGGCCAGCTGTCTGAGAACACAGGGTATTACATCAAGCTGCGGGGCTACACCAAGCATGGACATAATGACACAGCTTATTCAGACATGATCAAAACAGGTGTGCTATCCTCTGTTGTTTTATTTGCTAATGTTAACAAATCTTCAAATTTTTAAATGCAGATTTGGAAACATTTCTAATATAACTAACCATCGGTACCCGTTACATGTGAATTATAGGCTATATATTTTTAATGTTAAACATATTTGAGAAAAATATTTTATAAAATAGTTTTTGGTCAAAACTCAATGTTCTTTACTACAAAATGAACGATATTAGTGACAAAGCAAAGAAATAACCAAATAGCTAAACATCTGGCACATTTAAAGTAACATAAGCTACCTATACTTATTAGAAAAACTAAATTATATACATCATTAGTCAACACAACGCAATATTAAATGAACACACTGATTAATAGAATTAAATGATTCCTTTAAAAACCCAGCTGTTCAATGGTATTTCTGTTTTTTTAAAAAGTAATTTGTTTATTTCATTTCTTTATATTCTAAAATTGGAAGATGACGCCATTAGTTTTGTGTTCTTTGCGTAGTTTAAACATTTGGCGTCACTGTTTATTGAGTATTTTCACAACAATAAACGCTTTTTCATTTGCATAATTACATTCGAATATGCCTTAATTTTTATTTTCCTTCTTTAAATAAAATTTAGTTTATACATTTATAAAACTCACCATATTATTTTCAACAAAAGTCCGTATCTTTAAGTTCTTCGTATAAAAAAACTTGCGGACAGAGAGAGAGAGAGAGAGAGAGAGAGAGAGAGAGAGAGAGAGAGAGAGAAGTGTGCACATGGGCTTTTATATATTAAGATGCTAGTGGCTGTATTAACAAAAAACCTCTGAGCCATGATTTAAGGAGATGTGGTTCTCTTTTTTGTTTTTAATGATGTTTAATTTAAATTATTGAAGGCTTGGGTGATAATAGCTCTATACTTAATTTGACACCATGATTTGATGTTGTTTAATTAGAAATATATAGATCTATATATTTTCATTTTTCTGGTAAATTTGGTCCAGATTGCTTTTTTATGTTATAATTGTCTCAATATATAGGGTTCAATGCACTATTAGGTTAAGTACTAAGTTACCATAAAAGATTTCAACAATAATGATGTTTAAAGAACTCTTATGATTATCATATAAAAACATCTCAAATCTCTTAAGTTAAACTACTTTAACAATTAGTGTGTAGAAATTGAAATAAGGCTTAACACACTAAATAAGTAAATTAATCAATTTAAATAAAACTGAGAAATGACAAGCTATTCTACTGGCAAAATGGCATCCTTAAAAACAAGGTATTTTTATAACTGCATTTTAATTTTATTATAAATGGTTTGGGGATTCATCTACTCTTTTACCTACACTTAAAGTAAGTAGCCTGTATAAAATACATCTTTCTCTTATATATATATATATCAAATTACATAACTTTAAGCTTTTGTTTATGTGTATTATAGCATTATATCTTAATTGTTGCTTTTCTCAATGAAGCTTTGCCTTTTACCATAAGATCTTGCTATCTCTGACTTTGTTTTTCGATTTTTTAGCCATGGAATTATTTAATTTTTATTTTCAGTATTCATGTGGCAAACACATAATGAATCTCTAGATCTGTCAAACATCTGGTGTTTGAAATTGTATTAGATGTCTCTAATATAGACATGTATTTAATCTGCTTTATTTTCTGTCTTATGATTCAAGAATGTATTTCTAAATCTCACCAGCTGAAAGTCAGTCCAACAGTGTAGCTTCCACTATAGGAGGCGTCATTGGTGCCTTCATTATTCTCATTCTCATTGCTGTGGCTGTCATTTTGTTCCTTAAATGGAGAAACCGTCCAAAGAAAGCCTCTAAACATTCAGCACCTCAATCGTCATGGGAGCACAACGCACTTGCAAAATTAAGGTATAAATATATTTAAACTTTTTATTCGTATCAACAAACAGGATTACTGAATGAAATATTGATTATATTAGGGTTTTATTTGTAGCAACACACACTTAATAAAATGGAACTGTTGAAATTGTATTTTGTAGTAACACACCTAACTTACTGTAACGTTTAGGTTTAATTATTTCTTTCAATGACTAGCCGTCTTGTGAAACTATCTGACTTTCCATTCCATGTGAAGGAAATGGAATCCGACTCAGATTTTAAATACGCTGAAGAATATGAGGTATTTATCTTGTTTCTTCTCAAGAGTGAATTGAAATTTCACTGTCATGTAGTTTCTTGACTAGCAAATTTACTGTTTCATGTCTTGACCAGGACGTAAAAGAAGTGGGACGTGATCAGCCCTGTACGGCTGCAGAATTTCCACCCAACAGACCAAAAAATCGCTTCACTAACATTTTGCCTTATGACCATTCGCGTGTTCAACTTATAGCAAGAGAAAACGAGGAAGGATCAGATTATATCAATGCTAACTACGTGCCAGTAAGACAAGTGATTTCATCTTGCATGACTTCAATAATGACTTGTTGATAATTGACACTTATGGGAGATAATGTTCATACATTCTTTTTTCTATGGCTAATGGTAGATGTGAGTTTTCAACTCTCCATACTTAATTATATAGCAGTTACTATAGTATCCTTTATAAATTAGCTATCACATGCCATACAGAACTGAGATATGCTGACATAAACAACAGATTTTGATGTTGTGGCTTAAGCGGTAGAGCTCTAGGCTGCTAACCAAAAATTCTAGAGTTGTAATCCGGGTCCATGTCAAAAGAACGTCCCTGAGTCCACCCTGCTCTGATGGGTACCTAACTTATGTTAGGGAAAGTAAATGCGGCTGAGCAAAGTGCTGACCACGACTTCCCTTCATATGCAGAGGTCAAGAAACAGATGAACTCTACTTTATCGGCCCAATGGATCACTAGGTCTACAGATGATTCTTTATTAATTGTTAATGAGTTTTTCTATGTTCAATGAGACAGTAAGAAAATGGAAAATGCAATTAAGTTTGGCTAGAAGATATTAATAACTGGCGAACTAATGTATGCATAGTTTAAAAAAGACTGTTGTAATGTATGTGTGTAAGTTGGTTGCTGATAGACGGATGATTTGAAAGTTTCTCAATTAAAAGGAAGTGATGTTTTGGTAAACATTTGTAAAGATATAGTGTAAGTGTTAATCAGTTTTTGTCCATGGTGAAGTGGAATGGTGTGTCAAGGAGTTGTCATTATTAATGTAAGGCTTACAAGTCCACATATTTGTTCTGTTGTCAAAATTATAAAATGTGTCACTTGAAATATATCTCTGGATTCATTGCGTGGATGACCATTGGTGATTGATTATAATTATACTGTAGAACGAACCCATTACAAGAATCTACACCATCATCCTTTTAATAGCATAGTTAGAAGGTGAAACCTCAAGTATACACATAGCATGAATTGGTATAAAAAAAATTGTAGTCAACTAGTTGACTTTTACAGGGTTTGTTACTGTTTGTAATTTCAGGGTTACAACTCAGATGAAGAATATATAGCCACACAAGGGCCTCTATCTTCAACACGAGATGATTTCTGGAGAATGATTTGGGAAAAGAACTGTCGAAATATTGTTATGTTGACACGCTGTATTGAGAAAGGGGTGGTAAATACTTAATCCTGACGAAATTTCGTGTTGTTTTAAATTTTTTACAATATTTAATTATTAATAATAAAAAAATAATTTAGAAAATAATCTAAATCTAAACCTGAAAATGCCATTTTTCAGGAAAAATGCGACCAATATTGGCCCTTATATTCTGTTGCTCAGAAGTGTGGCGAACTTTGGATAGTTAGCTTACATGAAATCAAAATGCCAGAATGGACTATCACAAAACTTAAAATTTCTAAAGTAAGCAAACATTCTTTTAATGGATTTCAAAATATTATTTTAAAAAAGCAGAATACATAGTTGAAAAATAAATCCGACATTTAATGAGATAAATTGAAATTTTAAAAAGTAAATTAAAAATTAATACATGTGTCTCCTCTCTTACTTGTGTATAGAGTGCACTAAATGGGCCTACATTTTAATTATCTTTTAAAAGAATTTTAAAGTTATATAACATTGTCGTGGTAAATAACTAAGGTCCATCAAAAAATGTTCTTATAGTAGACCCAGTGGCGTAGCGAGGTCGGGTGTCACTTAATGGTGTCACCCCCTCTCCCCAGAGGCGTAGCGACCCTTCCCGGGGAAAAATTTTCGATTTGCTCCCCCCCCCTTATATTTTCGATTTGCACCAACCCTCAAACTTTTGATTTGCACCCCCCCTCCTCAAGTTTTTGATTTGCACCCCCCCCCCCCTCAAACTTTCGGTTTGCACCCCCCCTCAAGTTTTTCTCTATATATTTTGCGATTTTTTGCCTTGGTGTCACCACCCCTAAATGGTATCACCCGGTGCGGTCCGCATCCCCCGCCCCCCCCCCCCTTGTTACGCCTCTGAGTAGACCTATGTTCTAATTATTGATTGATTTGAACCTTAAATATTATTACTATTTTATAAATAACAGTAAAAATTATCAAAATATTTACTTTAATTTTATCTCCATGCTAATATCAGCCATGTTTTAGCTAAAACATTATTTATTTTTATTGCCTGCCAATCTGGATCACCGATATACTTTTTAAAAAAGGCATAGAAGGTCTTCATATTTTCATTTAAACAGAAAATTAACCATTCAGGTTTTAAAATACAAAAATTATGTTCTATTGCTTTATTTCTGTCAAGAATTTTTATCTAATACTCTAAGAAAATAATTTCTGATGACCTAGGGGAAAAAGTACAAAAAGATTCTCCACTTTTGCTACACTATATGGACCAAACACGAAATCCCGTATTCACCAGTTTCTCTGATCCATTTTGTGAGGACAGTGAGAGAAAAGTTGCGACAAGTCTCTAGTCCAATTGTTGTTCACTGCAGGTAAAAATGCATCAATTTATTTAAATGTATTTTATCCTTTGCTTCTTGCTATTGGGTGTTTTTTTATAAGTTTTTTTAATCGAAGTTATTTGATTTTATAAACATAATGTTTCAATTATACAGTCATAATAGGTAATAGTTTGACATAAGTGTCCATTTTCTTTCATTGGTTACAGTTTGATAAATTTTCAGATTGAATTAGTACTGATGAGCTACCAGCAAAAAAAGTTAATAATAACCAGGAACTCTTTCTCTACTTGAGGGAAATTATTGTCTCTGCCATGCTGTATCGATTAGAAAAGAAATAATCCTATTTTATTTCTTATTTAAACCAGTTATTTCTAAATTTAAAAAAATTGTTTTATCTGTTAAAATAATTTTAGTTGCAAAGTAAGATCTTCTTGCTACATTTGGCCTCCTTTTTAAAAAATAGACCCTAATTGCGTTTTTAATGTTGCCATAATGAATATGTAAATGGCTTAAAATAAAATTAATAAAAAGCATTTTGAAACTTTAAAAATTTGCAGCTCTGGTACAGGAAGGTCAGGAGTTTTTATTGCAGTTGATCACATTCTACAGCTGATTAAACAAAAAGATGAAATCAGTGTCACTGAACTTGTTTATAAACTTCATAAACAGAGAAAATTAATGCTGCAAAATGTGGTAAGCAAACTATGGTAATCTATCGTTTTGGGTACGTAAAATCGCCCGCGACTTGTAATGTGAAAACCAGGTGAATCCTTAAATTTTAATAATTATTTCACATTTTGAGGAGGATTTATGTTTTTTAAAATACAAAAATGTTTCCTTGCTTCATTTATGTACCTGTTTTTAAACAAGTGAATTAAAACTTTTCCGTAATAAATGAAGACTAGCGATGTTTCCAACAGATGCAACCATGCTCATTTACTATAGCAGCCATCTTGTTTAAGTTTTATTTTTATAAGCTTTTAGCGCCAGATTCAGGGGGAAGCCACTCTATTTTACAAATGGCTGCTGTTTATATAGCAAATCTTGCTCTCAGACACTGCTGTTTAAAGTTAATTTCTGGCCTATATCGTCATATTTAGCCATTGATTTAGGTTTATTATTCATTTATCTATAATATTTGACACAAACATATGACAATATACTTCTATTAAAGCCTTGACAATGAGGTAACGTTTTCGTACATTAATAGCCGCGGGCGATTTTACGTACCCAAAACGATAGATTACCCAAACTATTTCATATGCTATTATTTAACTCCATTAAAAGAATTAGTTTAGACTTTGTCGAAAGATCATTGGATGAAATTAAAATTTAAAAAAAAAACCATTTTACTTGTATAGCCTACTGCTTTAAATGAAGGTTACGTAAAACATTACTAATAGATATATTATTTATTTCTATTCATTGCTAAAAAAAGTTTCTTAAACTACCGTTTCTTATTTATGGATGTGTATATATTTAATTAATTTTACAACTAGTGTCTATTGTTTTGTTTATGTAAAAACTTGTATAGTGTAATTAGCATAAACATTTTGTTTTTTTTACAGCATCAATATAAATTCATTCATGAGTGTTTACTGTGTGTGCTAATGGGGGAAGAAACATCCTATGTGAATTTTGGAGTTGGTCGCCAGGTACAAGATGGTGAGAAAATGCTAATACTACTGCTAAAGTGTAAACACACAGAAATCTGAAATGCAAATTAGTATTATTATAACTTTAATTAAAAGGCAATTTAACACACGTATGTATCATGTAATGGGACACTACAATATACTTGTGAATAGTTTTAATTATGTTTTATACAATTCATTTTGAAATTGGTATCTATTTTAGATGAGGAAGCAGACTCTAACTACTATATGATCAATGGTATGTATTCTACATTTTTAAGTTGTGTATTTGTTATATAAAATGTGGGTCATAGCACATTGTTGACATTCTATTACTTTTTTTAACCTGATTAACTAGCAATTTATTTTAACTAGATATGAGCTTTTGGCTTAAAATATATTAAGATAATCATCCAAATTATATCTGAATTTTGCGATCACATTCTTATTTTTGGGTGGAGGGTTAAACATGTCATCCTCACTATTAACACTCATGACATATCTAATTTCCATGAAAGCCTGCATGTTAGTTATTACCATATTTATACCAAGTGAGGCTGCTAAAATATATTCTACTAAAGAAGACTAAACAAGGCATAATATCTAAAAATAATAGTCTGAAAATATTCTGATTAATAAAATATAACCTGAAATTCATGATATTATTATGTCCAAATATAATGTAATATTTCAGAGTATGAAGAAATTGATGAAGTTTTATACACAGGTAAGCATACCTTTTAGTAGCTTGTTGTGTTCATATAAAGAGATATTTGTTTTAAATTTGTGCCTGTGAAATAATTTCAAATAAAATTTTAAGATGAATAACATGTTCAAATAGCTGATTATTTTTGCTTATTTATACAATGGCAGGTTATGACAGAATTCCTGGAGAAAGTCAGAAGTAACATTTTGACTAAAACACAAATCAATATTACAGAACCTAAGTTAAGTTGAAAAAAAATGTCAAATTAAAAAAAAAGAGATATTTCACTGAAATGAGAGTCTTACTATGTCAAAATCACCAAGTGTTACCCATATAGCAATAATATAAAGGAACATAAGTTTGTTTTATAGTTTATTCAATGTAAACTGGTAGGGGCAATTTTAGACAGTTTTTTTTCTAATTCCCTAATGCGACAAACGTTCAGAAAAAAAAGCTATTGTAAGGGTAAATGTACTTATAAGTGTTTCTGTAAACTATGTCTATTTGTCCAAAGTTTAAGGGTATTTTGTATTTTTTGTTGGTTTGAAATAATGATGATATGATTTTAGTTATATTCGTTGAAATATTTAATCTCTATACAATGAAATAAAAGAAAATCGTGTTGTATTTTACACACATTTAAATTTTACTGTAAGTACTATAAAACATGAAGGTACCTTTGTTGAATCCTTTGTTGAAATGCTTGATTTCTTAATTATTTTATGTTCACTATTTTTTTACTTTTCATTCACTATTTTATTTATGATCATCTTTAATCAGGTTGATCAAATTATTTAAAAACGTATTATTTTGCTGTTGTTGTTAAGCCTATATACTTTTATGCACCTATGCTTTGATTGTTCCTTCCTTTTTACTTTCTCGTATATGCGAAGTATAGAGAAAATCTTGTAATCGTGCAAAAAACAGAAATCTAGATTTTTGCAAATCTTGACGTTTTACAGCTCCCTGAGTCGGAAAAACATAGTTTTGCAATCTTATCCGTATGTCTGTGTGTGTATATATAAGTAAACACGTTAATTTGAGTACCATTACAGCTAGGTTGATGAAATTTCATATATAAGTATTATATCAAAATCGTAGATCCGTATCTTCTTTTGAGCGATTTCCAATAACCGGAAATGGAACTTTTTCTACTTTGAAATTTTCAAAAGCCTATAACGTAAGTACTATTAAAGTTAGATAAATGAAATTTCACACGTAAGTAATGTATCTAATTTTCTGCCTACTATTAAATTTTGAGTTATTTCCGTTGATTGGAAGTAGTAATGTTTGCTATTTCCAATTTCTCAAAAAAAAAAACGCATGTGAATTCATAAGGTACTAATAATATTCTGCACTATTATGCACATTTTATGTTGCATTCGCTTGGTATGCTATTATTTTTTTCTACGACAAATTATTTTATTTTAAAAAGTTTAGTGTTTAAAATGGATTAAAAATTTCATAAAAAACGTTTTAATAACAAGCTTTTATGTAATAATGCACTAAAAAGTAGAAAATAAATTATAGACTACTATTTAAATAACTAGAAAGAAAAGCGTGGGTCACTTTAGTATCTATTGGATACCTTTACTAATGTTAAGGAAGACACCCACGCTTTTCTTTATAGTTATTTAAATAGTAGTGTATAATTTATTTTCTACTTTTGAGTGCATTATTACATAAAAGCTTGTTATTAAAACGTTTTTTATGAATTTTTTTTCAGTACTTTGCATGTTTTATTTACAATAGAGTTACATGACTAAAAACCATTGCGCGCCTACTGAACATCACGTTCACTGTGAATCGTATCGGTCAAGTAGAACTGTCCGAATTTTCACTCAAGCGTTTCGATCTAGACTGACGACTTACGACTGACGACTTACGACAGAGGAAGTGAGTTAAATAAAAGCTTGTAAAAACCATGTCTATTTCCCGAGTTGCCATCCCCTGTTGTTTCATATCAGAAAATTCGAGAAAGTTTAGGGGAGATCACATGGTTTATTTAATGTTATCCCAGTGCTGGGCTAATTAAGAAATTCATAATTAAAATAGAGTGTTCTGTTTTGTTTTAAAGCCTTTTACATGTACTCATTTTACTTCTAATTAGTCAGTAAAATAACTTTAAATGACACTTTTATAAATGTATTTTTCTCACAAAATTTTTGCATTAAATTTTTATTTTTGTTTTTAACACACGTCTGTAATATTTGAAAATAAAATAAAATCTCAGCTTTAACCCACCAAAGACAGATGCCTGAAAGATTCTGTAAGCGCAACATACCCCCCTCCTCCTCCCACACAGAGAGAGAGATACCTAAAAGAAACTCTAAAAGCACTGACGAACTCCGAGGCTTTAGTGCTGAGCTCAAGCCACCGCTAGCACTTAATCCTTTTCTCTCCACTTGAAAAATTGTATACGCTATACTATTTGTCTTATCTTTAGTGAGAAAAGGCATGGGATAATGAATTTAACGCAAGTTACAATATAAATAGCTGCGGCAAATCATCGTGTGATCATATAGAAAATCTATTTTGCCAAATGATGATGCTCCACGTCTTTCAATTGAGCTGCCTTGTGGTTAAAGCTGTAATAAATCAATCAACTGATTAAAAAGTAGAGTTACCTGTATCTATGTCAGAAGACAGTTCACACTAATTGGTATTGTAGACTTTCTTCTGAGACCGCGCACGCTAGAGCTCAAACGGATTATGTGGCTCTGTATGTATGTGGCGGGCGAACGGATCCTTGACAGCAGAGGCGTAGCTGGTACATCTACATTATTTGTTAAACGTGTTATATGTCGCATTATTTGTGTTCCGTTTATATTTAAAATAAATCTATGATGTCTAGCACCAGCCTTTATTAAATATCGTTATTGACTTTTTTAGTAGATGTTAATTTCTATTAATGTACTTTCAGGAAACATGTAAAAATGGTATTAATTGTATCATAAATTAAAATAGCAGTTTATTATTTCTATTTTAAAATCTATAAATTATGCCCCCCTCCCTTTCTGTGGTCAAAGCCCCTTTGTGGTCAAAGCCCCGCTGTGGTCAAACCCCCTATGGTCAAAGCCAATCTGTGGTCAAAGTCCCGTTGTTGTCAAACCCCCTATGGTCAAACCCCCTATGGTCAAAGCTCCGCTGTGGTCAAACCCCCTATGGTCAAACCCCCTAAGGTCAAACCCCCTATGGTTAAAGCACCTGTGGTCGAAGCGCCTAGGACCCCTATTTCGACCCATGTCGACAAAAAGCAAAAGCACGACAGACAATAAAAAGCAAGTTAAATTATAGCTTGTAAAAAGATTTATTAAAAAAAATTCATAAAAAACGTTTTAATACCAAGCTTTTATGTAATAATGCACTAAAAAGTAGAAAATAAATTATAGACTACTATTTAAATTACTATAAAGAAAAGCGTGGGTCACTTTAGTACCGATTGGATACCTTTACTAATATTTGAGAAGAGACCCATGCTTTTCTTTATAGTAATTTAAATAGTAGTCTATAATTTATTTTCTACTTTTTAGTGCATTATTACATAAAAGCTTGATATTAAAACGTTTTTTATGAATTTTTTTTCAGTACTTTACATGTTTTATTTACAATAGAGTTACATGACTAAAAACCATTGCGCGCCTACTGAACGTGATGGCGCAGCTATTGCACGTACCGTGATGGCGCAGCTATTGAACGTGATGACGCGTGTGGTGTGGTTGGCTAGACATGCCTAATAATTCGGTCCAAATTTTAATTAATTCATAAAAAATTAATTAGGCATCCAATTAAGTCAAATTTAGTTTCAGATTGCATTGTCTTCATGTCTTGACCCACGTGCCAACTTTGAATCGTATCGGTCAAGTAGAACTGTCCGAATTTTCACTCCTGCGTTTCGGTCTAGACTGACGACTGGCGACAGACGAGGAAGTGAGTTAAATAAAAGCTTGTAAAAACCATAAAAAAGATTTAATGACAAGCTTTTATATAAGTGTGCAATAAAAATAAGAAAATGAATAATATTCTTTAAAGTGCATCATTTATTATTTCCTTTATAGTGCATAATTTTTATAAAAGTTTTGTTTTAAAACGTTTTTTCTTAATTATTTTTAAAAAAATTATTTTTAAATACAATAGAATTGCATTACTAAAACTGCGCATCAAATGAACACAAACGATGTTTATATAATAGCACGAAAAATAGTACTTTACAGAAAAAACTTGAATTTAGAAAAATTGTTTGCAATCGTCAAGATTTCGCTCTCAAGTTTCGACGCATAACACAAAAGTTAAACAAAAGACAGAGAAAGCAAGTAAAATAAAAGCTACTTATAAGAGAGTATAATAAACAATTATATAAAAATATAATAAACTAAATATTATTAAGGCACTAAAATCCGAGCTTTCAAATTTACAATATATTTGAATATTAAAATCAAATACCAATAAAGCAATTTGGTTATTGATCTTCTGAGTCAAGTTTTTAACTTCCATTGGAACACTAAACAAGAGACTTAGCGTTGTCAAACAACTCAAACATGACTTCATCGCGTGAGTTTAAAAAAACAACAAGAAACTGAAATTAAAGGCTGATGTCAGACTGTCACTCGCTTTGTGGTCATATAAGTGCGTCTATGGTTAATAAATAGCTGGTCTAATATAATTATGTCTGTGGTCATACAACAGATAGTCTCATATATTGATGGCAAGTATCAAACAACAGCAGTTGGCCTGTATCATACGGAGAAAATCAAATCATGAAGCAAACACATGTGTTAACACTTTATATTAACTACCATGTTTTAAAAAGTTAATCCTACCACGTCATTTACATGTTGCTCTCGCTTGTGATGCTTGAGGTTTTACCACTATTGCAGTCAGTGCTTGTTGTGGGAATACCCGAAATAGCAGACGGTGTCGGTTCCTGTCGCACATGATGGGCTGATTGCTGTCTTGTGTGACACAGATCTAAAAATAGTTGAGCGACTCTTTTGTTTACAACGAGGCTGTAGAACAGGAAAACGCCGTGTAGACCAATCAGAGCCGTGATGACGTAGTCCACATACATGTTGCTGGATACATCGTAGAGAAACGCCAGCAGCCACATGAGACCAGTGATAATAGACAGACGCACCATGGCAACCAGACCTAGCTTCAACTGTACCGAGGACTGGCGCTGCGTGGACGAGCCACGACGTAGTTTACAGGCCGTGAAGGTCATCAGAGAAATGTTGACCAGGACAATGATCGCCACAGGGACAGCAAACGACGCGATTCTTGAGACTTTGGACGTGATGAAACAGACATAGTCCCCGCCGTATCCCAGCTGTCCGCTTGTGACGTAGTTAGCCACCATGTTGACAACACACACAGCAAGTGGAGCTAGCAGTGTGTAGGCCGTGCCCAAGATGAAAGGTCGTTTGGTCAAGAAAAAGGCGCGGGACGTCAAAGGAAAACAAAGCATGTAAAATCTCTCAATGGTGCAGACGTTCATGGAGAAAAGAGCAGCCATCCACGTGTAATGGATGAGCACTCCAAACACGAGACATGTCGTCTGGTCTTCAGAATGTTCCAGTGTAAACTGATAAAATGTTTGGGCTAAAAATAAAGTCACGATTAGCACCATGATGTTTTTGCCGCTAGCAGATCTCAATGTAGGCAGCAGCAGATATGTGATGAATGTTAGCAGAAGACAGGTGAGGGATATTCCCGTACAGATAACTGAGATCAATCCTCCTGTTGTTGAAATGTGCAATATTTTAAGGGTTTGGTTAGTCGATGTAATGTTCAAGTCAGCTGTTGTAAGATCCATATAGTCTGACACACAAATGCGTACAATTGTTTCGTTAACAAAATACATTTTTCTTGAAGAAATTTCTTTTTTCGTTTGTATGAATTCAACGATGTCATCCGCTTTATCCCAAAATTGACTTCTGGGAAGTTCTAGAAAACTGCAGCTTGTGACTACTGTGTGGTATATGAAATGTACACGATTATCTTCCAGAAAAACATCAAACAGTGTACGGGGTTGAAATCGTTTACTATCTCCCAGACATGTATGCTTTAGAGAAGACACACTGGGACATGCGTCTAAGAATCTATAGCTAATATATGCAAGGTTTGTGCGGATATTTTTTTTAATGAATTGTTTGTAGCTGACTATAGCCTTCTCCACGTCTTGCTCTAAGTCTTCAAGTAAACCGTTACTTATAAACTTCGCCTGCCAGTGGACTGATATCCTAGTGTTGTTAGGGCACCAGTTGTCTAAAGCTAGGACGTTTTCTAGAATCTTAAACGTGTTCTTTGGTCTCCACATGGTCACGCCTTCAGCCTGGCTGTCGTCTAAAGGCTGTTCCGTGCTCACGTCAAACACGAGGCATACTTGGTACCCCAGCATGTTGGAGGATACGAGACTCCGGCACTCGCCTGATAACGTTAGATATTTACCCTCAGTACACAGTTGCTCATGACACTTATCCTGTCAAAAAAAACATGTTAACTTTATTATCTGGTGACCCTAATCATCAACAAACTGCATTGTATTACTACAGGACATAATGGCGGTTGCATCTATTTTATTATTTTCCTTGACGGGTTTTCGGGGGGGGGGGGGGGGCTAGGTAGCTATAAATATATGTTATGTCGGGCGGGGGGGGGGGGGGGCGGGGAGGCCTAAGCCTTCTTGTTCCTTCATAAATCAACCCTAGCTATAAATATATATTGAGAAACAGTTCCAAGACAAATTATCCCCTGTCCAGTCACCTTAAGAAATATAAAAAAAAACACTATACACAAAACATTTTCAAAATTACGAAATTGCAGCTTTCTTTACTTGTGACAAGCGAACTATTTTCTCATGTTTAATACAAAATGCTATTACCGTTGGTATGGGGAGGGCACTCGTGTCCTATGTTCCACCCCTAGAGACGTTCATGATAAGATAGATAAATTACTTGTTTTCAATTGACGTAAATCACACACGTTTTTGGGGAGCCGGCCGTTTACCAGACTGAACACTTGCTCGAATACGACAAATGCCCGAATGGGACAAATGCCCGAAAGCCAGTTGCCCGAAGGCAGTTTCATTCTAAATCAATTACAATTAAACATTTTTCTCATTCTAAGCACACTATTCCAATACAGTTCTAAGTATAAAATTTCTCAATTTAAGTTTGTTTATATATACATATATATATATATATATATATATATATATATATATATATATATATATATATATATATATATATATATGTATATGTGTATATGTATATGTATATGTGTATATGTATATGTATATGTATATGTATATGTATATGTATATGTATATGTATATGTATATGTATATGTATATGTATATGTATATGTATATGTATATGTATATGTATATGTATATGTATATGTATATGTATATGTATATGTATATGTATATGTATATGTATATGTATATGTATATGTATATGTATATGTATATGTATATGTATATGTATATGTATATGTATATGTATATATATATGTATATGTATATATATATATATATATATATATATATATATATATATATATATATATATATATATATATATATATATATATATATATATATTAATATATATATATATATATATATACATATATATATATACATATATATATGTATATATATATATATATATATATATATATATATATATATATATATATATATATATATATATATATATATATATATATATATATATATATTAATATATATATATATATATATATATATATATATATATATATATATATATATATATATATATATATATATATATATATATATATATATATATATATATATATATATATATATATACAATTTTTAGTTTTTGTTCATGAAAATTTAGTAATTTTTATTAAACAAGTTAATAAAAAGTCTAGTGACAATTTAAGCGCAATTTCCTTAATTAATTTTTTGTGACCGAACGAAAGGATATTTTTGAAAACTTTCTTCTGCAAGATTGTTCTAAATTATTGCAGGAATCGATTGGTAAATGTTTCAAGTCGCTAAAAGGTCTGGTTGCCGAGATATGGGCCAAAACTTGCATTTTTTAGAGTTTTTTTTTGGCTTTTCCGGGAAACCTAGGAAGGAATTCCGGAATTTTTTCGGCCCACAATCACCCTCGGAACTTGCTTAGCGTATTTGCTTTGGAACTAGTCCTCGATATTGCTTCGTTGAGGAGGAGATACGACTTAAAGCTGCGGACACACATCCATCCATCCATCCATCCATCCATCCATCCATCCATCCATCCATCCATCCATCCATCCATCCATCCATCCATCCATCCATCCATCCATCCATCCATCCATCCATCCATCCATCCATCCATCCATCCATCCATCCATCCATCCATCCATCCATCCATCCATCCATCCATCCATCCATCCATCCATCCATCCATCCATCCATCCATCCATCCATCCATCCATCCATCCATCCATCCATCCATCCATCCATCCATCCATCCATCCATCCATCCATCCATCCATCCATCCATCCATCCATCCATCCATCCATCCATCCATCCATCCATCCATCCATCCATCCATCCATCCATCCATCCATCCATCCATCCATCCATCCATCCATCCATCCATCCATCCATCCATCCATCCATCCATCCATCCATCCATCCATCCATCCATCCATCCATCCATCCATCCATCCACCCACCCACCCACCCACCCACCCACCCATCCATCCATCCATCCATCCATCAATCCATCCATCCAGAAATAACGAATTAATAAATAATTGTCAGTATGGAACTTGCGCTAATAACGAGTTAATAATCGCAATTGTCAGTATGGAAATTGCGCTAAAAAGTTATTCTTTAGTAAATGTAAAAGTGATGTTTTGATTATTGCCTGAGCGCTTTGCTTAGTGGTGGTTATTGTGGTGGTTGTACCATATGTGTGACGCGGTGTAGGCCTCGCGGCGTCTCGCAACGTTGAACAACTGATTTAGCGTGTTAAGCCTGTGTAGTGTGGTGAACATTTCACAAAAGAATGGGGCACATTCCACGCAAATTGTTTATACCATGTTTTATAGCGTATATATATATATATATATATATATATATATATATATATATATATATATATATATATATATATATATATATATATATATATATATATATATATCATAGTATAATAACTAGTTTTTTATGCGTAGTATTATGTTGCTTATCATAATACCAAATTAAGATTTATTAAAATCGTCTACTATGTAATACATAATAGCAAACCTTTTTCAGGCAAATGGCCTTTTTCGTGCTATTATATGAACATCGTTTGTGTTCATTTGATGCGCTTCATTTAGGCATTGGTCCCATTCAGGTAAGTGTCAAATTGGGGAAAGTGTACATTCGCACGCACAAGCACATGCACATGCACACGCACAAACACAGATCTTTAATCACTGCTCAAACCACAGATTTTTGGGAAAAAAATAAATACACAAAAAAGACAATTGACTTGCCGTAGCGCGGACGTAGATGGCGTTGTGGGGGCATCGGGGCGCTTGTCTGCTGACTACTTGGTTGTACAGGGTAGTCCATAGGCGTAAACAAGGCGGAGAAAGTTTCCTCAGAAATACCAACGGGATTTAAAATTACAGGTTCTCGGTAATCCATAATGACTTCAAAACTCTCGTACGTATTGCAAAGAAAACAAAATATGTTTCGGTATTTAGAGTCGAAGACAGATTCGTACAACGCGCATGCTCTGTCGATAATTTCGTCGTAATATTGCCATAGTCCGGTGACGTTGCAGGAGTCAATTAAAGATGGCTGCCGCCAAGAGCAGTCACGAACAGTCACGTGGGGAGGTATCTTAAATGCCATTGTGCACTGCGTCCTTTCCTGACCCTCTTCTGTAGCGAGTAGCAGAATGGCGTCTTCTTTCGTCCGGGCTAGATGCAGCAGGTCAGAGAGCGTGGATTTGCAGGAGATGGACACTTGCCATATGGAGATGTTGTAGCTGTCGTTGTTGCACTGGGCACAGTAGATGTTTCTATAGATAAAAAGATCAATACAAAAATGACTTTTAGACTGCGTAGTAGCTTTAGTTAACATGACATATTTATTGTATGCTTATGGCATAGTTAAACATTCTTTGGCTATTAACTTTCGCTGTGTTAAACATTCTTTGGCTATTAACTTTCGCTGTTAATTTCATTTTTGTAAACGACACCGAGGATCTAGTCCTAAATGTAAATTGCATATCATGTGAAGCAGAAGTGTATTAGCAGTAACAAGACGAACCTACCTGTACACGGTGCCAGTGTCAAGAGTTGAGACAGGTAACATCTCCCAGACATCTTTAGAGGCGCTTGCATTGGCCAAGTCACATTTCTTTCTACGATATCCCGACGGACTTTCTGACTTCATTCCGCCATCGGCTGGACAAAGCGATTGGGTGATCAAGGACTTAGAACTAAATAGAAAAAAAGTGTAGGATTTAACGTACGTCAGGTAATCTCTATAAAAAAAGGGGGCCCTGTATATAAATCTCTAGGACACTATCCAAGTGTATGAGTATGCGAATGCGTTTGCGTAGATGTTGATGTAGATGTACGTGACATGCTAAAGCGCGTCATAAATATACAACCACCACATTAACCACTGCTAAGCAAAGTGCTCAGACAATGATCAAAAGAATGTAAAGCCACCTGTTTAAAAAATGTTTTATACTAAAGAACCGATGGGCAACAATACACGTTGACTGTGTCGAATCACACGCGTCGTCCGGTGCCTCGGTATGGGACGATTTGGCGCCCGGGCTCACACGTGAGCACTATGACGCCTACGTTCGTTTTACTGAGGCTATGAATACAATTGGTTGGTATAGTCACTCACTAAATCGAATCAGGCGCGTACTCCGGCCCCCAACGGGATTCAATTTTAGCACTTTGGCGCCTAAGATCGTTTTAAAGAGCGCCCTACAATATTGACTCGGTGACACATGACATTAGATGATTAAACCGTTCACGGCGCCCCTTGCGGTATTGTAACCGGGGGCTCCCAAGAGCGCACCTCTATGTCCCTGACACAAGCGCGGTCGCCAAAATGAGTTCTAGCTCATTAATACGTAGAGTGATTAACGTACACTCAATACGCCATGGGACGCAGTGGGTGGTAGTGTGGGTAAACTCCTGCTCCGACCTACATGATCCAAGAAATATAACACCGGCATTGTTTACATTTAAATAACTCAAATTTAGAAAACAAGATCATGTGTCTAAGAACATAGGATTGTTAACGCATTGATGAAACCCTCTTAAATATTTTTTCAGAATTTCTTCTGAGACCGCTTGGCCATTTATACATATAGCGTGTATAGCGTTTTGTTTGGTTTGAAAAAAAAAGACATTATGATGGAATAGCTTGTAGACACGTGATCTACTCATACTCATTTGAAACAGGAAGGCTGATACACCTGTAGACATTTGGATGTTGATTGACAGTCGTCCTCGGCTGAGCCAGCTGCACCTCAGGGCAACAGTCCCTGTACTTGTCGCAGTTAACGTCAGAATAACATTTGGAACATCGACTTTGATTGGGCGTCTCTGATCGGCACGCCTGGTCAATTAGAAATATAAGTAGAACATAGTTATATGTGCAGAATTATCAGTATATATATATATATATATATATATATATATATATATATATATATATATATATATATATATATATATATATATATATATATATATATGGGAGCCGGACATTTTCCCGAAAGACACTTGCCCGAAAGCCGTTTGTCCGAAGGCCGATTTCCCGAATGGAAACTCGCCCGAATGCGACAATTGCCAGAATGGACACTTAGAGGCGTATATGTTCCCGGGCGCCGACCTTGTTATGCTTAGCTTGTATGGTAACTATTTCACAACAGAACTAGGCACAATCCAGGCAACGAATTTAAAAACTAAAGGTAGTCAACTATGTTCGATCTCCATTTAATGCACCTTGTTTAAACAATGTGTTAAAGCGATTACTTAATAAAGAAAGAAAAATTCATTTTAAAATCCTGTGAAATATGAAAATGGTATTTTTGTCTAATTTCATAGATGAAAGAGAAAGTATATTTCTACACTTTATACAGCAAATACAAATTAATTAAGATTGTCTGAGAAGTAATATAATAATGTAATATTGTTTCTTTTCTTTCTTTTTCCGTAAATATGTTTTGATTATCAACATTTCAAATTTAAATTCATTACGAATGATTAGTTGGTAATATATAAATGTTAATATTTTTCGGGCAAACGGCCTTCGGGCAGGTGGCATTCTGGCATTTGTCGCATTCGGGCAAGTATCCATTCTGGAAATCGGCCTTCGGGCTAACGCCATTCGGGCAAGTGTCTTTTGGTAATATGTCGTAGACCTTAACCTCTCTCTCTCTCTCTCTCTCTCTCTCTCTCTCTCTCTCTCTCTCTCTATATATATATATATATATATATATATATATATATATATATATATATATATATATATATATATGTCTGTGTGTAGGTATAAAAAGCAATACTAGTGTCTATTATTTGTGTAAAAAATATGCAATATTTTAAAATATATAACCATGTGGTCCGATTCAAAATACATAAATCACTCTACTTCGCGTGACAAAGGGATTACCAGAACGGTATTGCACAAACCTCAGTGTCAGTTAGCAAGCTACAAGTGTATATTCTTCGTGTATTTTCTCTATTTTATTACCCGTGAATTTGTCTTTAGAATGATTTCCTCCAATGTAAGGTTCTGGTCTTTGTACTGGTCCGAAAATGAAGGAGGTTTGAAACCAAATTTGAAAGAATCATCCATACAAACGTTGCGAAAGAACAACAATGCCAGCGTGTAGAGAGTTAATTGTATTACCCAGAGTTCCATGTCAGCTGGTAAAGAGATGTGAATACTGATGACAAAAATGTGTTGTTTTTACTTTATACGAAGTATAGAGGAAGTCTTGTAATCGTGCAAAAAATCGAGATTTTTACATATCACGACGTTTTACACACATAGTTTTGCAATTATGTCCGAATGACTATGTGTGTATGTGTGTATGTCGGTAAATACAATAAACTGAGTACCGTTAAAGCTAGGTTGATTGAATTTCATAATATGCAAGTATTATATCAAGTTTATATTTTTGTATCTACTTTTCAAAAGCCTATTACTTCAGATAGATAAATGAAATTAAAGACGTAAGTAAAAGGTCTAATTCTCTACCTTCTGTTAAATTTTGAGTAATTTCCGTTGACCGGAAGTAGTAAATTACGCTATTTCCCATTTCTCTAAAAACGCAAGTGAATTTATAAAGTACTAATAATATTCCGCAATTGGTGCGTAATTCAGTTTTTTTCTACAAGATTCTATTTAATTTTAAAAAGTTTAAGTATTTAAAAATGGATTAGACATCATGTCTCTAACACAATGGAAATAGATGAATGGTCAGAGAAATAGATGAATTGTCAGATTCTGATCTTAAACCGGTTTAACTGTTTTTACAAAGTTGCAATGTTCCGTAATACTCTCACCGTCACAATAAAGTTTTACTAGCTAAATACCGGTTTTAAATGTACAAATTTGGGAACAGAAAAAAGCCAAACACACATACAAAAGAAAACACAAACACGACGCAAATAAATAAAAAATACAAACACAAACACAAAAACTAACATAAAAGAAAAAACAAACTCAACTCAACACAAATTCAAATTCAAACGCAAACAAAAACACACATAAATCACAAACGAAAGCGCAAACACAAACGCAAACACACAAAAAACACTAACAAAATTGCAGACACAAACGCGAACGCTAACGCAAAGGCAACACCCAAGTACAAAGGCTGACTGACACACTACTTAGCCGCCTACATTATACAATAGCTTCATACACGTGCACCGCCACGATGAATCTTTTTTAAATGTACCAACTTGGGAACAAAACTGAACTAAACACAAGAATAAAAGACAACACAAACTCAAACACAACGCAAACACAAAAGAAAATACTAACACAAACACAATGCAAACACAAATGCAAACCCAAACAAACACAAACGAAACACAAATACCAACGCAACACACAAATGCAAAAGAAAAAACAAACACAAACACAATGCAAACGTAAATACGAATGCAAACGCAATAATACAAACACAAACGCTCACGCAACACACATAACATAAACACAACTTAAATGCAAACATAAACGCATAGTGCTCACAGTCTAGACGGTGGCGCCAAATCGCACCCTGCCCGGGCACAGGCGGCCGCGCCTGATTTAATTTAGTGAACCCCAGCTTGTCCGCAAATCGAAAGATAGTAGTAAACACAGAGGTCATTTAGGAACGGCTTCTAAACTGATATTGATTAATAAAAGTAATAATTAGTAAAAAAAAAAAAGTTAAAAATAAATAAATAAAAGGCCGTATATATGTTACGGTCAAAGCCCGACGTGCGGCCAAAGTATGCATCGGCCGGCCAATGTGCGCATTGGCCGGCTCTCTTAGCCAAAGACGAAAGAGCTTCGCACTGAGAGCGTATTTCGTCCATTGGCTGGCATATGCGCGCACTGGCCGGGACGTCCTGGCTAAAGTCTGAAGCGCTTAAACTTGACAGCGTATTTGGTACATTGGCCGGCCAAACTGGACTAAGTTGTAATCGCGTTTTCATTATTGTGGGCGCGGTTTCATTGTGAGTAACGAATTGTTTGGCTCTTGTTTGCATAGCATTCTATATAAAATGCGACATGGATCAAAAGGGCCGTCAGACCAAGAGACAGACATACCAGATGGCTTCCAAAATATTTCTGAACTAAAGAAAATGTGGCCTGAACTTAAACTAGTTCACGCAAAACCAAGGTATAGCCAAAGCCAAGGTTCAGAAGAACGTACCAACGAAGTTGTACAAAACATGATGATGACATGGATGCAAACAAATGAATCAGCTCATTGGGCTGAGAATCTCAAATTAATTTAATTTATCAAAAATCTTTCTTTTTTAGTTACTTAGGAAGATCTTGAGAACATTCAACAAGAAATGGAGGTTGCCATAAATGCAACGACATCCGCAGCTAACACATATGCTGCCGTTGCGGAATGTCCAGAATGTCCGGAATGTCCAGACCAGTTAATGACAATAATATGGCCAACAGATTATGTGTAGCTAGTGAAAAATATTGTAGTGCAGCCCATTCTTGTGGATCTTGTGGCAACGATGTCCATGCAATATGCGGAATAGCCTGTAACAACTCATATTTGGTATGAAATGACAATACGGTCGTTATTGTGGGTTCTTTCATTCAGGAACATGATAAACAGTACTCTTTAACTTTCAACTTTATTTACATAGATCCACAAGAATAACAACGATAATCCATAG